GGAACGCTTTCGCACACATCCGCAGCCGCAACAGCACAGGCCGCCACCTGGTGGTCCCTCCTCTGTAGAAGAAAATTCCTCTCTCGCTTCCTTCTCAAATATGCGCCTTGTATTTCGGCGCGCTTTCTTCAAAACGCTATTACCCTGAATTATATTCAGTTAAGTTTAAACGTTTACTCCTCAAACTGAACTTTGGAAATACGAGTATGCTTTAAATATACGCTTATATAAATTTATGTGAACAATATAGAGGATATTGCAATGTATTAAACAAAAAAAATATTAATAAGCTAAACTGTTCCAGGTTTAAAATCCGCTATCATAAACTTCTGGTTAAATAAATTCTCTATAAAAATAGAACAGAAAATACATTTCCACATTTCATACACTAAGAGACATGTTTACGGTAAACAAGCAATCGTCATTTCGCGTCTCCGCTCTCTCAACCCCACTCATTTCGCTTTAATTTCCCAAAACCCATCTCCGAGCGAAACAAAGGCGACGCCATTTCACGCGGCCCAAACCGACCGAACAATACTTTTCTACCATCCGCCTACAATTATCTACGTATAGCAACACTGCTGAAATGTCAAAGGTATTTCTGTCTCTCTCACACTAGTATGTTCAAAGAACAGCTTTTCGTTTCGCGCCAAACGCTACGTTGATACATATGCTTGCTTGGTGTTGCCGCGTGCGGGTTGTTTTAATTTTCGAATGCGGTTTGTTCGGATTGATGTTACGCTTTTAGTGGATTTGTTTGCCTTTTATTTTTTATAGCAGTCGATGACGTTTGTCATTGGAGATTCTACTTTTGAAAATTGGAAATGGACTTTTCATGTAAAAATGTACGTTGGTACGAAGTAAGCAAATTGAACTTTCCTCAAATTTTTATGATCCCTAATTAGTAATGAAAAATATTTACAACCCGTCATTTTTCTTATAAAAAATCAAATTATATGACTATTACTTGGAGTCTTGGAGGACCTGTTTGGATGCTTGGCTGTTTCATTTCCAGTTTTTAGATATTAAAACAAACCATATTATTTGATTCGAATATTAAAATTATATTTTCGTACAAAATGTATCATATAATATTCTATGATGAGTAACTTTTGAAAACTTAAAAAATATAAGTACACCTAATTCATATTTTTTTTTTTTATAGAATTAGGGTGATAAACGAGCACACAGTCCACCTGATGGTAAGTGGTTGCTGTGGCCCATAGACATTTGCATCTCGGTTGTGAATTAAAATGCAGATGCGTTGTCAGCCTCGAAGACTAAGACAGAATGCCTCTTTTCCAGTAAAATGGGTCTCCGGTTCTCTACACTCACCATACGAAACACAGCAGCATTAAGCTGCTATTTTACGTTGGTATTCTGTGAGAGCGTGGTCCTTCCCCGGTCGAGCCGACCCATTCGTGCTACAACTATACCATTAATATAGCTGCAGCATGGCTCTACCACGTAAAAATATATTCTATATCATTGATTTTATTCAATAATTTTACATTCTCAAAGCTTATCATTTATTTTAACTATAGGGTGACCTACTGACTGTTCACCTGGTGATGAGAGGTTACTGCAGCCCATGTAACCCAATTTAAATAACAAATGATACAAATGCATTGCCACGTCTGAGGACAACCTGCCATTGCAACTGCAACAGTAAAGTCGATATAACTATGTTGCTTTGTTCAATTATTTTTACATACGCGTATCACATAATGACAGTTATTAAAATTTAATTAAAATAATGATTATTATAACAATGAAAATTGGCTACAAAAATGATATTGAGATATTGTTGTATGCTTTTAGAAAGGAATAATTGTTGCTATTAAATTAAAAGGTTTATTAGTAGCAAATATAAACATAATTTAAAACTTTGAACAAATGATAGTTTTATTGAATATATATTGAATGAATAAATATATTGAATGAATAAATATATTGAAATAAACTTAAGCTTAGAAACAAAATAATTACTTATTGAATAATTTATTACTTATTAAACGCAATTTACCAACAAACTCATAAACTGCTTAACTAGTAAGCGTTTGTGTAAACAGAACGCATCGCTAACAAAGGCTTAGGTGCATATTATGGCTTCTAAAATCAATTCGAATCACAGCGACCGTTGACCACTTAACGAAGGCTTTAACACCTTACATTATAACTATCGCACACAGATCAAGTTACCTTGGACACTATGCTTGCTTAGATCCACATAACAAGAGCTGTAACATTATAAATCACTTTTATAATTACCAGGTCTTCATATACTGGCCACAAATCTTGCGTAAATATATCAACACAATCCTTAACTCAATTGAAATTAAGCTTTATTGTAAATCGTCCAAAGTGTGAAATGGAAATATTTCGGAAACATATATTCTCGATTTGATTGTAGTGATTCATTCTACAGCGTTGATGACATTCGCCTTCGCGCCAGTGACACGTTCGAATTTCAGTTTTGAATTTCGTTCTGTTCACTGGAGTGAAATGTAATGGAGATTAAAAACACCTGCTTTGATTTTAGCGCGCTTTGATTGCAGGTTCTAATAGACATTTCTTTTTTTGTTTCTTTAATTATGGGTGCAATAAAATGTAGGTAGCCACTTCTCGATGATATTAAATACTTTTCAAACAATCATAAAATTAAAAAGAGTATTATTAGAATAGTAAACAACTTAACAATACACCTGACAATATGTGGTTATTGCACTTGTGAATGTATTATACGTGGTATATTTTATACGTGGTAGAACTATGCTGCAACTATATTAATAGTATAGTTGTAGCACGAATGGGTCGGCTCGAGCGGGGAAGGACCACGCTCTCACAGAATACCAGCATAAAGTAGCAGCTTAATGCTGCTGTGTTTCGTATGATGAGTGTAGAGAACCGGAGGCCCTTTTTACTGGAATAGATGCATTCCATATTAGTCCTCACGGCTGACAACGCATCAGCGTTTTATTTCGCAAACTTTTAATTCGCAAACGAAGATAGATGTAGAATTCTATGGGCAACAGCAACTACTTACCATCAGGTGGACTGTGTGCTCGTTTGTCACCCTTATTCTATACAAAAATGTAACCATCTTCAAATACAGATAACCATAGACCTCGTATTTCAGCAAGTTATTATATTGGCTCTCTTATGCACCGTTCAAATCGTAAAGGCAAAGGATGCACTGCCGCTTGGTAATAAAAATAGGTAATAGGGTTGTAACAAATTAGATGCACTTAGGCAGAAAAGTAAATTTGCACTTTTCAATCGATACTCAGCAATTTAAATTAATGAGAATATAATAAACTTATTAAAATATTGAATCTTTTCTGTGTAATATTTTTTAGTAAAGGATGTCAAACGCAGTTCACCTGAAATGGTTAGCGGATGTTGTAGCCCATAGGCAATTTAATCTTCGATTAAGAATCAAAATGCATTAAGCGGTGTCATCTCTGAGAATTAAAATCGTTGCCATTAAAAAGGATCCCCGGTTCTCGTTCGTATCACTCACCATAGAAAACGCAACAGCATTATGTTGATATTTCTCGCACCAGCGTGTGAGATTACATTGAAAGCCGTTAGAGTGTAGTCCTTCCCGATCGAGTCGACTACGTATAAAAATCTAAAATTTGTCACCATTATCGACACACTGAGATAACACGTCTGAGGAATATATTCCGAGGAGCACGTACCAAAACATGTGCAGATGCAGCGCGACTTAATAATTACTCCATAACATTCTAGAAAATGAAAGGAGACATATGCCCAGATGTAGGATGTGTATAAATTTAAACTTTATTTGTCAAACTTTAAAGATATTATGTGATTAAAGAGAGCTAAAAAAAAACTTTTTAAACATCTAGACGATTATATTGTAAACATGTTTTATATTCTTGATTCACTATCCCAAAAATACGACAGTTTACCAAGACCGGCAAATGAAATTTAGTCGATGGCAACACTGTTCCATTTACAAAGGTTCGGAAAATTGCCTAATCACAGGCGTGGAATACTCCGATTAGAGTTAGAGCGGATTAACTTGGTATACCTCTATAATTGGATAGGATAAATAATCAAAAGAAACGCATATTGTCGCATTGAAACCTTTTTGCTTTAATCTCCGATAATTCCTCTTTGTTAAAACGTTATTAACCTGCGTTTGGGTGTTGCTCTGTTAATTAAATTAATTCGACTGTCACGCTTAATTAGAGCGATTCCTATTACATGCTTATTCGTTCGTTGGTGTTTTTCTTTTCGTGTAAGTAAGAGTTATAGCCTACTAAGCCATAATGTCACATTGCATGTGCATAATTATACTCGTTCAAATTAGGCGGATTCGTGATTCGCTCGCGCCGATCGTGTCAGCTAATATTAATAAGAAAGACAAAAGGAAACTTGTTTTTAGTGCTATAAATTCATGTGCATGATATCACACATCAAAATTGTACTTATACTTACAAGTATTACCCAGCAGTAACAGGTAGAGATACCAGCTGATAATAAGATAGCATTATGGAACAAATAACAGCAGCGCTGATAGCCTACCGGTGCCCTTATCAAATAGTACTCTGGTTTTGCATTTTTTTCTGACTTACGCTTTTTATAAAGAAAAGTATCTTCAACTGCTGCGTAAAGAAGTCATCCCATTTCAGCAGTATAATATCCATTGTGATTCCAAATTGTTGGAAGGGATTTATTATTTATTTATTATAGAATAAGGGTGATAAACACAGTCTTCTTGATGGTAAATCGATGCTGTGGCTCATAGAGAGACAGACGCGTTGTCGCCCCTGAGGACTAAGATAGAATGCCTCGTTTCCAGTAAAAAAGGTCTGCGGTTCTCTACACTCCCCATAGAAAACACAAAAGCATTAAGCTGCTATTTTACGCCGGATTGAGCCGACCCATTTGTGCTACAATTATAATATAGCTGCAGCGTGGGTCTACCACGTATGAATTTAAAATTAACTTCAACACTATTGTTGCAGAGGATTCAACGACCAACGAAGAAGGATCTGCAGGTGGGTCTCCAAGGCCAAGAAGCCCGCCCCGAGCCCCTTCCCCGCCCTCACCGTCACGCTCGTCGCCACGCTCTCCACGTCTACATCCAGCACTATATCCCCAGCAACAAGACGTACAAGACTCCGACCCGGACGTAGACGAGAGCGATGACTTCGATAAGGACGAGAAACGAGACCCAAACGCGAGTTTAGGCAAACGAAAGAAGAAAACACGGACTGTGTTCTCCCGATCACAAGTGTTCCAACTTGAATCAACTTTCGACATGAAACGGTATCTTAGCAGTTCGGAACGCGCCGGATTGGCGGCTAGCTTACATCTGACGGAGACGCAAGTGAAAATCTGGTTTCAGAACCGTCGCAACAAATGGAAGAGGCAACTCGCCGCCGAACTGGAAGCAGCGAACATGGCGCACGCGGCGCAACGCTTGGTCCGTGTTCCGATTTTGTATCACGAATCAAGACCGTCTATTCCACATACACCAATGCCGATACATCCACAGTTTTCGAACGAGCCCGGTGTTTATTTCCCAACTCAAGCGCCGCAACCGCTGCAGCCGCTTCCCGCTTCACCGGTTACGTCTAGAGCGCCGCTGTCGAGTCTAGTGTAGTGTCCGCTTGATGGCGCTGGAAGTAACAGCGTGGCAGAAAGACAATACTAAGTTTGTTAAAAAAAAACGAAAAGTGAACTCTATTGTTTACTTTTTAATGAGTGATGCGCGGACTAGTCATATCAGTGAATGCCAAAATCAATGAAGATACTAAAATGTGTTTGATGTAAGGAATTTTAGCACTAAGACTCCTTGTTTTATAGGTTTTGATGATAATAGTAAATGTAACGTACAAATGTTGTCATTCATGTATATTGTTGTATATATTAAATGTTTTAATAATAAAATAAATCTTCTTGTATTTATTTCACGGTAAGTGCTAGTTAATACTGTACATAAAATCTAGTAGCAATTGAAGAACTGGCTCTGCTTTAATAATCGTCGCTGACATTACGGCAAAGTTATATTAATAATTAATAAAAAAATGTAATAATAATGAATTGCTCATTTTTTTAATTATTTAATGTGTTCTCATTCTAACGTTAGAAGAAAATAATGCAATTTTCTTGAGTACCTAAAAGCATAAAATAGCATTATGACGTAAATTTTAAAAGAACATAATATCTGTTTACAAAATATTGAGGCACTAAGCACACTAACTAAAGGCCGGCAACGCATCTGCAAAGGCCGGCAACGCATCTGCAATTCCCCTGGTGTAGCGGTTGTTCATGGGCGGCGGTAGTCACTTACCATCAGGTGAGCCGCATGCTCGTTTGCCCCCTCTCCTATAAAAAAAAACACGACATCTCTTTCATCGAATCAATAAGTTTGAAATAAAAGTAAAAGTTATACATTGCATTCAAACAACAATATTGCACAAAAAGTTTTGTCATTTTATTCAACTAAGGATTAAATTAAATACTATCATGTAAAGAACCTTCCTCTTTTCACTTTTAGTCATAGACATTAAATGAAATGAAATTCCGATACTAGAAATTTGAGAGACAGTGAACAAATTTACTACAATAAGCGAAACTTTGTATCTTTCCGAAAATATGATTGTCTATAATTGACCTCATGAAAATATATATTATACGTATTGGCCATCAGTTTTTATAATATTGTTTTTTTTTTCTAAAATAAATGCTATTTTAATTTTTTTATGATTTTATATACGAGTATGTGATTGGTAGTAAGTATACTTAAAAAAATCATATTAGTGTTAATACGCAAAAATTTGGTTAAAAGTCATTTAGCTCGTATTGCAATAAATAAAAAAAGTTTTTATCTATTGTAGTATTTGTAGTGGTACAAGCTACATGGCGTTTAGCCATAATTTCGCGTATATAATAAAAACAGTTAATACTTTGTGCGACTGCCTTAACATATTATTGTATTGTTCTAAAAACTATGCATTTTTGTAAATAATTCATAATATACTTTTGTCTTGTACGCTCGAAAATGCAATTTGTATTTCAAGTACGTCTCAAATTTATCTAATACGTTGTATGACGTCACGCAGATACATCTTGATCCCTTGAATGGGATTCTGTAAAATTAATAGCCTTAAAATGATGCTTAATTCTAAATATTCATGTTAATGATTGATAGTAGTTGACAGATCTTCGTAAATTGCATTGTAATATTATTATTATGCTGGAGTAAGGCGATGAATAAAAGAATTACGCAAATTATTTGTTCTTTTTTTTTCGTCTCCTTAAACAATTATAAAAATCAAATTAAATTTTTTAAAACGATCTGTTGCATCGAAATTTCTTCATTGGGCTTTGTTGAAATAAAAAGAAATATCGTTGACCCTACAGACTATCCCTGCAATTTCCCTCTAATTTAAAATGCAAAGCGCTTTAAAGTCCACCTATTACGACCATTCTTCGAGCTCAAAAACGTCATAAAATTTTCAAGAGAAATTTTCGACATCGATTTCTCTTGAACGTATGAACCAATTATAATGCGGTTTAAGGCAAATGATGTTGTTTTTTGAGGTTAAGAGTTGAGTAGATTTTGGAATCGATCATTACATTACTTTAAAAGTTATTTCAAAAAAATATTTTAACATTAAATTTTTGAGAATTCTCAAAATCTACTAAGCCGAATTGATTCAAATTCACAGAAAATGTAACGGCAATTGAATTCTTTTGAATGTCGTAATCCGCGTTTCGATCGGTAAAGCCGTTCAAAAGTTATAAGGAGTTACATATACCCACAAACACCCACACACACACACACACACACACATATACACGCACACACAGACATACGAAGGGATATCCTTGTAGGAATAGACAGAAAAGCTTCCTAGGACCTCAAAACATGAAGATCTGATGAGAACTCGAAAAAATCATCAAAAAAATCATCAATTTTCGTAGCGGTAAGTTAAAAAATGTCCTTTTGGTCAACTTGAGTTCACGATGACAGTTACTTTTAGACAATTGGAAACAATTGCGCGGAATATAATAGTGGGTTAGGTATATATATATATATATATCTCTTATAACGTGACAGTATATATATATATATATATATATATATATATATATATATATATATATATATATATATATATATATATATATATATATATATATATATATATATATGTATACTGTCACGTTGTAAGATTTGAGGTAGGCTAGGACACAGTGTCAGAAACATCATTATACCGTAAAAGTTCACTGCTGGACATGTTCCTTTTCAATTGCAGGGAAGATTTATCTTAAGAGAAAATGCGGGCCGAGACACTTTTGAAAATTAGATATTTGATAAAACTATTATTGTCGCTCTGCGAGCGCTTGGTGTCTGGTAAGGACAACTGCAGATCCGACTAAATAGCATAAGTAAGAAGGCATATTTCGAGGTTTGGCACTCTACCATTTCCTCCTCCAATATTGAATTAGTATGCTGAAGTGGCAATGGACCGGGCATATAGCTCGAAGAACCGACAACCAATGGGAAAGAAAGGTTCTCGAGTGGCAGCCTCATACCGGCAGGCAAATTGTAGGGCGTCCCCCCCTAGATGGAGTGACGACCTGATAAGACATGCAGGAAGTCGATGGATGCAGGTGGCTCACGACCGTGCTTTGTGGCATTCCTTGTGGGAGGCCTATGTTCAGCAGAGGACTTGTGAAGGGCTGTAATGGTGATAATGATATTGATGAATAATTATTAATACAAATTACGTAAAAAATACTTAATTAGGTTATTATTGTACCCCTAGGAAATTTTTCGACCCGAGGGATCAAAATAATATTTATACGCCTTTCTGCAGCTATATTAACAGTTTAGTTGTAGCACGAATGGGTCGGCTCGACCGGGGAAGGACCACGCTCTCACAGAATACCAGCGTAAAATAGCAGATTAATGCTGCTGTGTTTCGTATGGTGAGTGTAAAGAACCGGCGACCCTTTTTACTGGAAAAGAGGCATTCTATCTTAGTCCTCACGGTTGACAACGCATCTGCATTTTAATTCGCAAACGAAGATAGATGTAGATGTCTATGGGCCACAGCAACCATTTACCATCAGGTGGACTGTGTGCTGGTTTGTCACCCTTATTTTATAAAATAGTACATTTTTAAAATATTTGTAATAAAGTAGACAAGCTGAAAATTATCAGTAAAACTAGCTGGTACCCGGCGCGTTGCAGCCGCAGAAAAAATAATTGTGGTAATATCGTTTTAAATTTGGAAGAGTTAGTTATATTATTAGGAATGACAATGCATTCATTGATGTTGAATGATATATAACTTACAAATGGGTCGGTACTATTCGCGCGCCATCTACTGTACGTTAATTGTACTATGCGCATAACAACCCATACGTACTCCAACCAAAATATAGCTGGCTTGGCTCTACCAAGTATAAAATAATAATAAACACGTATTGTCAGAAATTTGGGACCTTAGTTAACACTTTCATTCGAAATCAGATGTTCTGTGGGCAAGAAGCCAACTACAGCCACTACAGCCCCAACGATACTAACGTCACTCAATTTGCCTTCCCGGAACCCCTCCACTAACACTTAAACTTTATGGCATGGTATTAAAGTTCAAATTGACTTTTAAGTATTATTACGAATCTTTTGTATGGTAATATAGAAAAGTATTGTTTTTAGACTTTTTCAGGCAATTTTTTAAAATTTTCTCTCCGTAAGAACCATCTTCGTACTTCAAGGAATATTATAAAAAAAGAATTAGCGAAATCGGTTCAGCTGCTTTCGAGATTTACGCTTAGTAACACATTCAGCGATTCATTTTTATATTATACACAATTAATCTAATTAAATTATAACTGTACTAAAATAATTAGTGTGCACTGTCACTCAAACTGTCACTTAACACGAACGCGCGTTCGTGTTAAGTGACAGTTATTATTATATAACTAAAATTAAAAAAAAATCAAAACTCCCGAAACAAAATAGCTGATAACCTTGAAACGGCTGAACCGATTTTGATAAAACATGTTTGAGAACCACCGCTAGAAAACCTGCTTTTGAATAAAAACCGCACCAAAAACGGTTCACCCGTTTAAGAGCTACGGTACTACAGACACTCAGACAGACAGACACACACACATAGCGGTCAAACTCAACCTCCCTCTTTTTGTGTCGGGGTTAAAAAGAGTTTGATATTTAAATGTTTTATATTTGATATTGAAATTTGATATTTGATTAAAAAGTGTTGATTGTTTGATATATGCGTATAAAATAAAGCCAAAAGACACCTAAAATGATAACAAAATGTAAAAGCAACAGATACCTACGACCAAAGTGACTCTAACTACGAGCGTCGTTATATTAAATAATTTAAAATTAAAACTTTTGTACAGCCGACTTCAATATAAGTTATTAAGAATAACGCAAAAATCAGGTCATCAGTAACACACATAAAAAAAAAACATACAGTCGAATTGAGTACCATCTCCTTTTTGGAAGTCTGCAGAAAAATATCATTTATTTTACTTTCCTCTATATTACTTAGTTGACTGCCTCGTTGGTCTAGTGGTTGTAGTAGTGCGATTGCTGATCACGAGGTCCCGGGTTCG